TTAATTTGAAATTGAAAAGGCTAAATATGGAAGACATTAAGATATCCAGACAAAGTATGGGAGTTTTGAAGGATCAAATTCATGTACTATTTCTTGGGCTGTTAATTGGTTTAGGACACATTGCGCGATTGTAGCCAACGAAATCCCATGTGTAGATGACTAAGCTCTGAACGCGCCTGAGGGCGCGTCCGTCGCAAAAATATACGAAAATAATTGATATCTTGGAAAAAGTACATTACAATATATTCAAACACATATTCAAGAAAGAAGAAAACAAAATTTAGATTGTCATGATCGAATAACAGGAACATGACAGGTTTTTTTTGTGTCCTTGTGATTCAATGCCGCTAAACTTCTGTTTATAGAGAAATCCATTTTGTACATTTTTTGCAATCGTATGACTTCAAAGACTGGTAGGGCCATTTCAACTTCATGAATTCCCGATTTCATATTAATTTCATGAATTCACAATTAAAACTTCGGGAATTCCCGTTTTCAACATACGGAATTAACAAATTCACGACTTCAGCTTCATGAATTCACAACTTCAACTTCACGATTTCAGCTTCAGGAATTCACGACTTCAACTTCAAGAATTCATGATTTCAACTTCATCAATTCATGATTTCAACTTCATTAATTCATGATTTCAACTTCATGAATTAATGATTTCAACTTCATGAATTCAAAATCATGAATTCATGAAGTTGAAATCGTGATTTCATGAAGTTGAAATTGTGAATTCATAGATGTAATGGTGAATTTGTCAGGTTGAAATTGTGAATTCATGAACTTATTTGTGAAGTTGAAATTGTGAATTCATGAAGTTGAAATCGTGAATTCGTGAAGTTAAAATTGTGAATTCATGAAGTTGAAATTGTGAAGTTGAAATCGAGAATTCATGAAGCTGAAATCGGGAATTCATGAAGTTGAAATGCCTTACTGGTCTTTCATACTATCATCTATAACTTTAATACTGAGAGTTTTACTTTGTTGGAAACGTCTAGTGAGAATTGAGCCCATATATTTTTTCCAGCTCCTTACAGGTACACAGTTCAAGATTTGTGATGTATGTAAAAAGTCTGTTATAGTAATGTCAATATCAATAATGGACATCTACAAGTTATCACCAATAAATATGTGAAATATGAATACGTTGTGATAAATAGTTTTCAAGATAATGAGGGGAAACCATTCTGACATTTAAGGTCCATTGAAAAAGTGAACCCAAAATCAATAGGGGTCATCTACTACATATGACCAATCAAAATACAAAATATGAAGACTTAATGATAAATAACTTTCAAGATGATGAGCAGATACCATTCTAACATTCAAGGCCTCTGTAACTTTGACCTATGAAAAAATGACCCCAAAATAAATAGGGGTCATCTACTAATGACCAATCAATATGTGATATGAAGACTTAGTGATAAATAATTTTCAAGATAATGAGGGGAAACCATTCTGACATTCAAGGCACCTTGACCTCTGACGGCAACATTGATTAGGGTGACATCTACTAGTTATGACTAATCAGTATGTGAAATATGGAGATTTAATAAATGGTTTTCAAAATAATAAGCGGAAACAGTTCTAAGATTCAAGGCCTCTGTGACCTTGACCTTTGAAATAATGACCCCAAAATAAATAGGGGACATCTACTAATCTACTAGTTATGACAAATCAGTATGTGAAATATGAAGACTGAGTAATAAACAGTTTTTATGATTATCAGCGGAAACCATGTGGTCTACCGACGGACAGCCTGACTGACCGACATTTGCAAGTTTGTTTCATAACATTCATATTAAGTGTTAGAGTTAACCACAACCTGGCCATATAGCATTAGTCATTGACAGGTGATTTATATAAGGGACAAGAGGATGATAATTATGTGTTTGAACTAATGACTGATATGCCATTTCAATATATGTTTAATTACATGACATTAATATTATAAATTGGTAATATAATTCATATTTGTTAAAATGGCCATTCAAAACATTGATATTGATAAGTCCTATACCAAATGTACCAGGGATGTATGTCCTGTAAGTGTTTACTTTATCACGTGTCTTGAGATAAATGCAAATCTGTATTAACTTCTGGTTGACAACAAAATAAAGGTCCATTATGACCCCCTTGCTGAGTAACATATAAATTTTTTTTTAAATCTTTCATACTTGTATACAGAACTGCACACTCTATATGTATTATTTATTTGAAATTATTGTTGGACATAGGAATAACAAAGATTCAAAATATTTATAACAATATATTTGATTAAAATTAAAAATCAGATATTTAAAAATATATACTTAATCTTGAATTAAAATGCATTAAAAAATACAGAAAATAATAATAAGGCAAAATATCACAATATATCATGAATAGTGTTCTTTTTTTTTCAGAAACAAGAAAGTAATGAAGATCAGTACATAATCTTCAGCATTTTTTTTTATTTATAGAAAGTTCTTTTAAGTTCCCGAGCTCGTCAGTGAGAACTGTTTTGTTTTTCTGACATCATAAGAATACTTATAATGCTAATTTAATATGACAGCACCTTCAAATTAGTACCAAATGAAACTTATGAGTATATCTTATGATAATAAACCTATATTATGAATAAAATGGAAGCACATTATATTTGACAAAAAATAGATATTCTAGTACTATACATGTATAGTTATATATAATGTTCTTTCAAGGCAAATTAAACATAATTGTTAAATCTCCATGCATTTATCATATAATAAAAATCACTTGTACCTGTTAATAGATTATTTGCAGTGTAAATTTTGAAATCTCTGCAGAGACGTTCATTGTAGAGCTTGTACCTCTTCCTCTTTATGGCAATGTCTGTCAGAATATGGTAAAACAATTATTGCTTCTAAAAGAAAGTTGCTTTGAAGATATTTTATCAGTGTTATTTCCTTAGATTGGGTTTAAATAACAGTTTTCAACACATGTATAACTTACTTGTCCTGTATTTAGAACTGATCAATATATAGAGGATATTGAATGAGTGTAAGTTTAATACTAAATTTATTGTTCAAAGGAAGCACATTATATTTTACAATAAAAATAATTATACTAGTACTATACATGTATAGTTATATAAAATGTTTTTATAAGGCTTGAAAATACTAACCAAACTGCACAGACATGGAGACTGCCTCATCTCTACTGCTGAGTCAAAGGCATGTCTTCTTTAGGTTTTAAGCCACATGAACATTGTATAGGTAATATGACAACCTTTAAGCATTACTGGTATATATGTCCATTCAAGCATTATTTCAGGCACCTTTATAGAATCAATAAGTATCCAACACCCTGGATGGGATTCAAGCACACAACTTCGAGGGGAAAATGATTTGATGTAACCTTTCAGCCACTGAGGCCCCAGAGCATGACTTCATCATGTTGAGTGCACAATTCACTTTCACATTAATTAACAGATGGAGACAGACCTATATGCCTCTCAATACAATCATTGTACTGATTAAGATGAAAGTAATACAAAAATCTGAAGGTTTTGTGGCAGAAATAAATTGTACTTGCAAATGATTTTCTATTCACTATGGTAGTCTCAATGTTCCAATTACATCATTTAAATTTTCTATGGCATTTGCATAAAAAAATTGACCTTTATCAGCCAGCTTTTGTAACAAATGTATCAATTAAAATTAAAAGCATGCAGCGTTGTGCACTTGACCAAAGATGCATTATAATAATAAAATACTTTAAGTAAATAAAAATTTGAAACTGGTACTAAAATTACATTTGCAATTACAATAACATACAGAAATAAAAAAAAATCACACACACTGCACAGAGAAAGTTAATCAATATAGTGTATTTAATATACATGTAGTTGAGAAAAACATAACAAACATATCAGTTTAACAAATACAATATTTGTAAAAGAAAAAATATAAACAAATAACTTAATAAAGGGAAAAACACACATCACAATAATGCTAAAACTGATAAAAATAAATAAGTTACAGTGATTTTTGTGGCTCAACTTTGGTTACATTAAGTTGAAGGTTAATTTCATTCATGCACATATATACATGATGAAAATAATTATATTATTATGTTGGTTTTATTTCTAAACAATATTGTCACGATTTTAGAAATTAAAAAACCTATGTTATCAGTTTGTCTCTTTGGTAACAGTTTTTGTACAGTGACTGCGTCAAAAGTCAATTAGTTCTGACAAAAAATATCAGGCCGTGCATTTACAAAATAAAGGTCAGGATCAGGATCAAATACACCTGGTTCTATTTTTATTGTTTAATGAAACTAACATTTATCATATTAGGCCTTAATAATATGTTACATATACAAAACGTATAAACAATCCTGGTTTGCAAAATAAACAAAAACAACCTTTTGGATAAATTGATGAATTACAATACATAATAGAAGAAAAGAAGTATCAAAATAAGGATCAATTTAAGGACCAAGCTCAATATTTAGATCAACTGTTAAACATGTATATCTTGTAAAGTAACTGCTTCCCAACACGCTTTTTCAAGTCCTCTTTTATGAAGTTAATAATAAAAAAATAAAATCTATGTGATCAATGGCGAAATTTTCTGTTTTGATCTTCTTGATCCTTGAATCATTGTGAACATGGGGTCAGATGATTAAAGTCTGTTGGTTTTATGTGTCAACTATATGAACTTTGTTAAGCTAGCCTGGTTATAAACTGATCTAAACATTAGTTAACGGTTAAAGGTGATCAGTCACAGCCACAAAATAAGAATATAATTCATTTACATATAATATGATAGCCTGCATAAAACCAACTTATAAAATACGAAGGCAAATAATCACGTGGTTTTGACAGAATACATGTATATATATTATCAGATGATGAAAATATGTTTATTATTCTTAAATGACTTTTTAGAAATTAACATTTAACAATGTTTTTTTTTTTTTAATTGGAAACTAACATTTAAGTAATCTCTAACTGAATCACAGATAATCAAATGGTTAGACAAAACAATTACAAGATAAGAAAAACTGGTTTTACTTCTAAATTTTGGGGATTAAAATTAACAGACAGGCTTTTCTATGTACTGCTGAAAAACCTGATAAAAACCCTGATTTTTTAAAGAAAAAATTTACTAGATATTTGAGCTAGTCTATGGTCACTGTACTACCTAATACTTTGTATCTACAACTATTCTACTCGTATAACACAAAAATGTCATCCTTCGTCAATGAATTCCATTCTGGTACCCGTTGTGTGCTTCGTTGTCAAGTTCATCCTCTGACCGAGCCTTGAACCCATTTCTCATCTCAGTCACATGACCTTGTGTTGTTATATTAGTCTTACTATGTCTATACTTTAACTTGAACCCTTGGTACAAGGTCTCTAGCTGGTTGTATAAATTATCAGCATCTTTTTCATCTATATTCAACTGAAATATTGGTAAATGATTTAAATTTTCCAAAATCAAAGGAAAACAGGTTATGAGTAACAAGTTTATTTGAGGAAAAACATATGATGTGCTGTGGGTTTGAATCCCGACAGGGACTTTGGATTCTTTCATGTGAGGAAGCTATCCAGCTAGCTTACGGAGCATCGGTTTTCTATTCAAGTGCCCGTTCGTGCCTGGAATAATGCACGGAAGAGCACCTGAGGTCTTCCTCCACCAGTAAAGCTGGAATGTCGCCAAATGACCTATACTGTGTCGGATTGACATAAAACCAAATCAAACAAACAAACATGTGAGAAAATGTTAAGAGATAAAAAGAATAAGCACTATCATGGGGAAAGCTTGCAAATTCATTATAGAATTCTAATTATATAAAAAAATACCCAAAATTTAAATGACATGATGTTTATCTGCTTTTTGCTTTAACATGGTAACTTTTGGATAGTATCATCTTGTGAAATATGATACAAAACTGTCAAAATATTGCGCCAGTGAATTAATGGTACATGTAAGCAGCCTGTCAGCTCAGTCAGTCAAGCTGTCAAATGATATTCAGAGGGTCATAGGTTTGAGTTCCAGATTGTATTGTACATTTTTCTTGCATCAATAAGAAGTACTGGTAGAGTTTAAATGTATACCTTTTCTTCACCAACATATGGTCTACCAAGCACTGAACATAGACTGCAGTATTTTATTCTTGGATTAAAGCTTTCACATTTTTGCTTGGTTACATATATCTGGAAAAAATAAATTAAATCATTATTTTCAGGTATTATAACAACAAAAACGTTTTCAGAATATTTTAACGAATCAAATAGGGGTATAAATGTTTTATTTGATAGATGGCATATTTCTTGCTATCAATATATCACCATTCTGTTTAGGGTGAACGGGCCATTTAGCTTAAATCAAGGAGAAAACATTTCTGTATATTAAGGTATAGCACAAAATGAAGTCTTCATCCAAAAACTTTTTCAGACAAAAGTGTGGTATGAAGAATTTTGTTTGGAATAAAAGAATTTTGTTACATAAAAACCAGCATGTTATAAAGGACAATAACCTTCTTAAATGACATGAAACTATCCAACATGATCCAAAATATAAATATAATTCATAACAAGATTCACAATATAATTATCATTAACTTATCTACAATATAATTATTATCAATTAACCCCCATACAACTCTTCAAAAATAATTGTTAATGTCTATGCTAACAATATAAAACCATGTCTGTAAGTGCACTTAAAAACCCCTTTGCTGCCTGAGACATTTCTAAGAAATACAAGAATTTACTAATTGCTTATTTTTCACTTGAAGTAGGACAAAGTATGTAGTACATTAAAAATACGAGCATTTTTAGGAAGAAAATAAACAAATATAAGATAAAGAAAAACACTACTTTGTGTCCCAAATATGGGTCTTAGATTCATCATTTATATATGAAAGCAGTGAAAGGTTAAATGAGCCGCGTCACAACAAAACCAACATAGTGTGTTTGCGACCAGCATGGATCCAGACCAGCCTGCGCATCCTTGCAGTCTGATCAGGATCCATGCTGTTCGCTATCAGTTTCTCTACTTGTTACTATTGTGATAGTTCACTATATTACTATTGTTGTATATGGCAGTCTTTACTACATTAAGTTGGTATGACAAACAAATTGTGTGTATTTGTGTATGTTTTATATTTTTGGTGTTTAATAAAGAACATAAGACAGACCATATTATACTGTTTCTCTATAGATATCTTTGTTTGGACCAATGTATATATATACATATTCTGAATATATACTAGGTATATACACTTTTATTATAACTTTTTAAAATATGCTGATTCAATCTGGAAATACATGTTTTTTTAAGTTTTTTTGTTTATTTGTTTTTGTACTTAGCTCATCAAACATATGTTAGGTAAATATTATCCTTTATGCAATATATCAGGAGATTGTTACTATATAGTTTATTTTTGTTTTTACTTATTATTTCATCTAAATATTGTTTTATATCTGGTCCAAATGTCATGTATTTGAGTTGTTTCTTAACGTCTTGTAGTGTCATATTGCATTCATGTATTTGTACAAATACTTAAAGAATAATGTACATACATTTTGTCATGCATGTTACAATATTAATTGATCATTGTATGTAATTTGTTATATAATTATGTTATGTCAGTTTTCTTGTAATATAGACTTAAGCAAGTACATTTTATGAATATAGTTTTTGTTAAATTGATTAAATTATGTTGAAGAAAATCATTGAGTACAATGTGAAGAATAGAGATTTTGTATAAGATTGTCTGTTTAAAGAAATAAATCACTCGTTCAACAAATGGGAAACATTGGTTTACTAGTCGGCCATCTGAACAACCAGCCATCTATGAACACAGCATAATTGTGTGCCTTTTCTCTCCAAAACTGCTCAACCAAATTTGATAAAAATTGGAATAATCTGAAGAAGTTTTACATGTGAATATTGTAAGGAATTCAACCAAGACTTATAAATGATATTGACCTTCATGGTCAAATCTTTGAATCCTGCTTAATTTTTTCTATAACTTTGTTTATAATTGATGTATGTTATTCATTCTTGTAGTGTAGTGGGTACAATGCTACTAAATTTTTATATGAAAAAAATGAACTGTTTCAATATCTAAAATGGTAATCTTTTTATATATATGTATATAATTATATTTTTTTTTTTGCTAAAATACAACACCATTATATATCTTAACTGGGACAAAATATAACGTTCGTCCCAGATTTGAAAATACTCTTTTATTGTTATTATGAACTCGTATGGAGTTATATCTAGAAATAACAAGTACAAATGTTGCTGCAATGCAGCAATTGAGAAGCTCCGCGCCAAAAAAAAATGCGCTCATTACAGATACCTTACCAAATCGTTTCTGCGCACAAGTCATTTTCTATTTAGATTAAGGACTAGGCTAGTGTACACTATTCCGGATATGTTTTGTAAATCATTTAAATATGCGTATCTATACTTATCGTATGCACTGTCCATAACAGAGGAGCCATATATTAAATTCAAAAATGCTTTCGCTGATGCCTACCTTGTAAGGATAGTAATTCCAATATAAACAAGTCTTACAAGACTTGTAAATGTAATGTGACATGACAGTAGTGCAACATTGTTCTGTTTGTGTCACTGGTCACTGCATGTACATGTAGTCAGTAATATTAGATGATGAAAATATCAAAGCATGTAATTTTCTTTTTCACATATAATGCTACTCACTTTCTACAAATATCGACAACTAATCATTGTAGGAAAAAGTAAAATCCACATGTAAATAAGCCAAATACACTTTATTTTTCAAAATGTCCGTTAAATGTTTCGCGCCAACTTATATATAATGTATAACAAGAAAGGCATTGATGCAAAGCATCAAATGGCGTCCAATCAAGAAATGCAGCAAGTGACGATGAACTTAAGTAGACATCTGATGACCAGATATTCTTTTAAACTTTTCAATGGTTAATTGGATTTTACCAGAATTGTGTAGTATATCATGACGAGACATATTGTTCATCATGAACTTTGGTCGGCTTGCTAAAAATAAAAATATTACATGTATTTTCTTTGAAACATACAGAACAGTAGTCAAATTGAACAAAGTCTGTTTTTATTATAATTGTAATAAATATACAAACAGCATTTAAAAATAGTTGTAATATCACGACGATTTATCAATGGAAGACTGTTACCTGTATTTGAGACAGGTATCATAGGGTATGGGAAAAAATATATTTTCGGACTTGCTCAATGTAATGATCATATCTATTTATATCTTTGTTCCCGTTCTCATTCATTAATATGACATGCTGCGAATCACAGAAGGGAAGACCAATATATATGACTTTACATAATAGAAATCGAAAGGAAATCGTGCTTCCGAATTTATTTTTAGCTGTAAATCGAAGGGATTAGTTGATAAAAATCGGGTCCATGGAAAAAAATAGTAAACACAAATAGCTCCGCGCCTGCTCATGTGGGCGCGGAGCAATAAATTCTACTAGTTGTCATAGCTTTCACAGAAGCGGTGGGTCCATCAAAACTGCGGGGGAGTATTCGACCCAGAAGTGGTGGATAAGAAAAATGCCATTTACTGTTGTTAGTAAGTTTATGACTGAGTTTATTGTATGTTTTAATGTTTAACTGGAAACACCTATAGTGAGACGGGAACCCACATTTATATACATTTGTATGTACTCTTCCAACTTCTACGTATTCACAACCATTTAATTAAACACTTCTGTACAGTTTGATGAGGGGACGGCACGTTATCCTAATTTTGGTTAAAACACGCACAAATATGTGCAAAACGACCCCTAAATACACCAGCATCACATCGTATGTATCATTCTTGCACATACTTGTGAAATTTTGATAATTGTTATTGCATTTTTTTTTAAAAGAATTGACAAAAATGATTACAATGCAAATGGCGGTTGATTCGATTGTAACATAGTGCGGTGAGCCCAATACCATATATGACTATTTTGTGGGTTAAGTAATAGAAAGGGCATCGAAGCTATCTGATTTGTACAAGGGGGCGTAATCACTGAGTACTAATCAGATCGCCGAGTGTTTTGATGTTCATTTCTCTTTTGTATCATAGGCAAAATCAGGATCGGGTCTTTCAAATTCTATTCTATTTGAAAGACCCTGGCAAAACACGTTCTCTGTTGTCACAATATGATACCCCAGAAACAAAGTAACCTATGAACGAACATCTGAATGTGACATTTCTATCGTTAAACCCCAGACAAAATGAGCCGATCAATGGGCGTGCTCTGGAGTGCGGGTAACTAATACCTGCTGCAGTTATTAGTTACATCCAAAAGGTCCCCAAAACAATGGTACAAACTTGACATAACGCACTTAACAATTGAGTACAACCCTTTTCTTACTTTGATATTGTTATTGTCCTTTGTTATTTTTCATGCTTTATTTTTGTCCAGAGCATAACTAAAAAAGCCTTAGAGATATCAATATGTAACATCATAGGTGGATAGGTATCGTTGAGGAGGAGTGCAGCACGCAAGAATAATAACTCTATCCTGAACTCTACCCTGCATATTTTTTCAGTTATTGCTCTTTGTTATTATTCATGCTTAATTTTTGTCAAAAGCATAACTATATAAAGACTTTGAGA